CCCGTTTTCCCCCCGTTCCCAGGGCCGACGCTGCCGCTGGTAAAGATTCCGGAGCTGCCAAAGTCAGTAAGAATTGGAACTTCCCCTTGTTTTTAACGGAATCACTGCCGAGCCTTTGGGATCACGGATCCAGGGAATCCCAAAGATCCGCTCCCTCCCCCTCGGGGCCGGGCTGGGRATTCGGGGTGGGGTCGGGATCACCAGGGAGGGGCTGGGGATTAAAAATCCTGGGATTTGGGGGGAAGGGGTGGGAAAGCAACTCGGTGGAGCCCCTTTCCCCGATTTTTCCCAAGTTTTTCCCAGATTTCCCCCATTTTTTCCCCGATTTTCCTTCAATTTTCCCTCAATTTTTCCCCAATTTCCCCCCAAATTTTCCCAGTTTTCCCCAGATTTCCCTGCTGTGTGGCCACTTCCCAAATTTTTCCAAGACCTGAGACCCCCCCCTCAAAATTCCTTGGGGAAAATCCCTTTGGAAGGGTTGGAAGGAAGATCCGGATCCAGGGTGGGGGGAAATGGGATCGGGGCATTCCCGGGGTTTTCTCCGTGTCCTCGTCCCCATTCCCRTTCCCATTCCTGACCTTTTTTCCAAAAAAACCCAATTCCCATTTTTTTTTTGCAGCCCAAGCTGACCCCACAGGAGAAGCTGAAGCTGAGGATGCAGAAGGCGCTGAACAGGCAATGTGAGGATCCCAAAATTCCTAAAATTCCACCCCAAAAATTCCCCTGAATCGGCCTGAAATCCCCTGGGATTCCCCCAGATCCCCTAAAATTCACCCAAATTTCTCAGAAATTCACCCAAGTCCCATCAGAATTCCCTGGGAGTCTTCAGCATCCCCCCAAATTCCCTCTGGGATCCCCAAATCTCCACCCAGGACCTCCCCAAACCTCCCTGGGACACTCTGAAGTTCCAAATTTTGCCCCCAATCCCAAATTCTCGGGTTTTTTTTCCCAGTTAAAGCCGACAAAAAGGCGGCGCAGGAGAAGATGCTGCAGCAGGAACACGAGAGACAGGTG